TTGACCTCCATACTATGCCATAGGGAGGCAGAGTTTCAGTCTACCAAGAAAATGTGAGACAGGTGTAGTGGCTCCTTTAAACAGCCACAATGAGTCAGATCTGAAAGTTTTCCGACACTGAAGACCGGCGTAATCCAAGTCTGTTTATTAAGCACAAAAATTAATATTACAGTCTCTTGCAGCAGGTCGATAATCTGTGCGCTCCCAAACCTGAACCTGAAACCTGAAGGTGTCTATAAAATGGGAGTGCCCAAGATATTAAAGCTGATCTACGTGTTTTTTTTAACTCAGATTTGTACAGTTGTCTTTTACAGTTTTGAATCATTGTGAAATTTACATTACATAACACTTTAGAATGACTATTCTTGGCGTTTTAACCTTTTTTAACAAATTATCTTTTGGACCTTTTAACCAAAAAAACAATTACATATTTTTAACCCCGCTCCCATCTCTGTGTGGAGTGAGAGGTCAAAGGCCCAAAAATAACAATTGTCAACTGCTTTGTGACTCTGGTCTGTGAAAGCCGGTATATTAATAAAGATTACTTACTTACTTACAGTTTGATGGTAAAAGTACCTAAAACCAAGTAAAGGCATATTTTAGTTTCAAGCTTAAAGTAAATATTATGACACAAAAAGTAATCTACCAAATTGCTGAGGAAACCATTAAAGAGCTAAAAACAGTATTGTTTGGCTGTACGTCCAACTGAAGGATTTCATCTTCACTCTCTATAAGGCACTGGGATTATTTATTATTTGAATGCCTTGTTTTTGTTTGTTTTGTTCAGCACTTTGAGTGGCCTCGCCTTTTTTCTCCAAACACCTATTTCCCATCACTCTTTAAACATATATCTGGCTTTTGGAGTAAGGCTCTCAAGCGGCCCTTATCTGTTTTTGCAAATGAACTTCCCCCACACACACTGACTCCAAACACCATTATTCTATTGTGTGCATTTGCGCTCGCCGCAGCTGCTAACGGGTCCATTTGCGGTGCAGTAAATATGTATGTTTTGGCGCGGACGGGCTGTAGCCGAGCGGAGGTGCGGGCAGGAGCAGAGGTACGGAGGGATAGGTGCGCGGAATGTAAACTAAGGCACTGCAGCACATGGAGCCCGCTGGGACACACCTACACTGTCCATCGCAGCCTGCTCCCACAATGCATCGCTCCGAGCTCGCAACTGGAAAGGCGTGATGCTAATAGAACATTTAGTCTCAAAGCTAGAGTACTTAACAATTCATACAGTGTGACCCAAAGCGCTTCACTAGCCAAAATCAATATCTTTCAATTAAAATAACAAAACAAAAACAAAACATAAAATAAATGCAAAAAAATACAAAACACAAACATGTCACATTATGTACTTGTGTTAGGGTGAGGCTGCGAGGCCATGGAGAGACTTGTACTCGAGCAGAGCTGTGTTAAAGTCTATTCTCTGAGCCACAGGAAGCCAGTGCAGAGACCTGAGGACTGGATTCATGCAATCTTACTTCCTGGTTCTTGTCAGGACTAAAGCTGCACTCAAGATGGATATATTTTTTTTTTTATTGGATTGGACAATAGAACTATGAGTCATAAACCCTCTTCTCAGCAGTCTGTGTAAAAACATGATTAATCAATTACTATTCCAGAAATTAAGTTACAATTTATTTCTATTTTGTTTATTTGTGTATGTATAATCGTGCGTTTTACTTACATGTTGTGCTTATATGGTCTCTCTCTCTGGTCTCTCTCTCTGGTCTCTCTCTCTGGTATCTCTCTCTCTCTGGTCTCTCTCTCTCTCTGGTCTCTCTCTCTCTCTGGTCTCTCTCTCTCTCTGGTCTCTCTCTCGGGTCTCTCTCTCGGGTCTCTCTCTCGGGTCGCTCTCTCGGGTCGCTCTCTCGGGTCTCTCTCTCGGGTCTCTCTCTCGGGTCTCTCTCTCGGGTCTCTCTCTCGGGTCTCTCTCTCGGGTCTCTCTCTCGTCTCTCTCGTCTCCCTCTTGTGTCTCTCTCTCGGGTCTCCCTCGCGTCTCTCTCGTCTCTCTCGTCTCCCTCTTTCGTGTCTCTCTCTCTCCTGTCTTTCTCCTCACTTTCTCCTCTCTTTCGTCCCTGGTCTCTCGCATCAAATTTGCCAACATTACAATAACAATCCACCAGATCTCCATCCATTTGAAACCCACCCTCTCACATCTCTGTCTGCTGAAGGGAGAGACCCACCCTCTCACATCTCTGTCTGCTGAAGGGAGAGACCCACCCTCTCACATCTCTGTCTGCTGAAGGGAGAGACCCACCCTCTCACATCTCTGTCTGCTGAAGGGAGAGACCCACCCTCTCACATCTCTGTCTGCTGAAGGGAGAGACCCACCCTCTCACATCTCTGTCTGCTGAAGGGAGAGACCCACCCTCTCACATCTCTGTCTGCTGAAGGGAGAGACCCACCCTCTCACATCTCTGTCTGCTGGAGCGAGAGTCTGACTGCGTAATCAAATTCCTCCGACAATGATCCGATTACCTTGCGCCGCTGATTAACTGCTTCCTCAATATTGTGTGCAGCCTCCACTCGCGGCCCCATGTCAGACGTTGCCGTACGTGTCCACGGCTTGATGCATAGTACTTGGTCTGGTGCATCGCCGCGGAAACTGGGAGATGAGATTAGGTCCAAATTAGAGCCATCTTTCCACCGTCGCACAGACCCCTTCGGCGATGCCACGCAGTCAAAACTATTACGCAAAAACAACATGGAAACCGATTCGCTTGTTCAAATAACATTAGACGTGGGCCCTGCAGTTGCCTGGGGGATTATAAATATCTAAAGTGTGCAACCCCAATTTGACAAATAAGGGCAGAATGAGGGGACGTGTAAGAAAAATGCTTCATCAACGTCAATGGATTTTTTTTCTTTTGTCGGCCGGCCGGAGGGCATAGCTAATGGTCTCGACAAGCCACAAGATGAAAGCCAGCGGTGGGAGACAGAGAGGGCTGCGTATTACCAAACAAAAACAAGACCGAGGAAAGGAAGAAAAAAAATTGAAATGCTGTGATTACAGATGGTCCTTTGTGGAAAACGCCAGTATTCTGAGGTTTATGTGGAGTTTTATGGCCTTGTGGACGAGCAAACCAGGGATAATGGAGGCGTAAAGTTGATTCACGCTGCACGGTTGTGGTGAATGGGAGTCAATGGCTGGCTTTGTGAGGAGAAAAGCTAATTGTTGTTATGAAACTAAAATATATATTTGAAGCACAAATAATAGGATCACTTCAAAATAATCGCATAGACAAGAATTCCTTAATGTTGCTATGGAGATGAAAAGTAAATAAGTAAGTAATCTTGATGTATATAGCTCCTTTCACAGACCAGAGTCACAAAGCGCTTTACAACTGTTGTGGGTGAAAGAAGTTGAATTGAATTGATTAATTTGATCAGGGATATGGCACAATAAAGATTAGACTTACTGTATAAAAAGAAAGACCATTATAGTCAACATCAGAACAAAATGCTCTTGTGAGACCCATTCACGAACTGTATTAAGTGTGAACTGACGAGTGCTGACATAATGGTATTTTAGTAAGTAGTAAGTAAGTTACCTTTATTTATATACCGCCTTTCACAGACCAGCGGTTTACAATAGTGTGCATTTGTCTCCCACTCACCACAGAGATAGGAGCGAGGCCAGAACAGGAGACACATGCCAGAACTATTGTACATGTTTTTAGTGGTAGGGGAAACCAGAGTACCCGGAGGAAACCGGAGTACCCGGAGGAAACCTACGCAGACACGGGGAGAACATGCAAACTCCACGCAGAAAGGCCCTGTTCCGACCGGGATTCTAACCCAGGACCTTCTTGCTGAGAAGCGAGAGTGCAAACCACTCAGCCACCGTGACGCCCGGTTTTACAATGTATGCGTGGCTTTTGACAGCTGCAGCAGTGCTAAGACCTAAAAACAACAGGTTTGATATCTCTGTAATTGCACTTCATGCTGAAAGCAGTCATGCTTTCAGGATGTATGTGAGGGGTTAAAAAACATACAGCTGCATATTCAAGGATGTTGATCCTTGCAGGTTCTTTATAGAAAGTGACACCGTGATAATCAAAGGACCACAGTATTTCAGTATCAATAATTCCATCAGACTGTTGCCGAGAGGAGCATCTGCAGTCAAAGCAATAACATTTTTGCTCGAGCCACGTCCCTCACCTCTGGTCATGAGCTTTGGGTACTGACTGAAAGGACGAGATCGTGGATCCTAAAGGTCCACATGAGTTTAATCTGGACAGTGGCTGGGAGCTCCCTAAGTGATAGGGTGAGGGGCTCAGTCAGGAGACCAGGGGAAGACCAAGGACACGGTGGAGGGACATTTTCTGAAAAACAAGAAAATGGACGGATGGATACTTTAAGGAATGAGTATCGAGTTGTGACTTTAACTTTTAGTTATAGACTAGACTAGACTAATATCTGGATCTATTTTGACAACCCAAATTACCCAAGTGACTTGACTTTTGAAACCAGAACAAGTAGACTACTGGCCAGTAGATGATTGTACTGCAAAAAAAAAAAAAGCTCTGGTGGCCTCTCTTTTCACCTGAGCACAAAAAACCAGGACAACTCTCTAACCAGGTTCATACGGACAAGCTTTCTTTACAACACCGACAACCGTCTCCTAGCAACACAATGTGCCGCCTGTAGACAAACAGAGATTACCATTCCAAGTTTCTCAATAAGAGAAAAAAACAAAACCAAAAGTGCATCTTTTTGATTTCCAAGTTTACAAGTCCCACTGGGGGGTAAGAAGGAAATAGCGAGGCGACGCTCTTCACGGATAGAAGCCCCCCTGCTCTATCTGAGCAATGGCATCATGGGTATTTGTAGGGCAGCTGTTCAAATCCGGAGAGTATAATTAACAGATGCAGCGCGCACCAGCCAAGTGCATGATACAATTAGCATAAACCGCGAGAACAAGCCGTGTGTGCGATTGTGTTTCGAGAGCAGATCACAGAGTTCTTCATGATGACAACATTCACCAAAGATTAGAGAAGGATGTCAATGTTACATCTTTCTGTCCATTGTTTGCTTTTTGGTGGGAGAGAGGGGGATTCTGTGGGAGAGAGGGGGGTTCTGAGGGAGAGAGGGTAGTTCTGTGGGAGAGAGGAGAGCTCTGAGGGAGAGAGGAGAGTTCTGAGGGAGAGAGGAGAGTTCTGAGGGAGAGAGGAGAGTTCTGAGGGAGAGAGGAGAGTTCTGTGGGAGAGAGGAGAGTTCTGTGGGAGAGAGGAGAGTTCTGAGGGAGAGAGTGGGGTTCTGTGGGAGAGAGGGTAGTTCTGTGGGAGAGAGGAGAGTTCTGAGGGAGAGAGGGTGGTTCTGAGGGAGAGAGGGTGGTTCTGAGGGAGAGAGGAGAGTTCTGAGGGAGAGAGGAGAGTTCTGTGGGAGAGAGGAGAGTTCTGTGGGAGAGAGGAGAGTTCTGAGGGAGAGAGGAGAGTTCTGTGGGAGAGAGGGGGGTTCTGAGGGAGAGAGGAGAGTTCTGAGGGAGAGAGGAGAGTTCTGTGGGAGAGAGGGGGGTTCTGAGGGAGAGAGGAGAGTTCTGTGGGAGAGAGGAGAGTTCTGAGGGAGAGAGGGGGGTTCTGAGGGTGAGAGGAGAGTTCTGAGGGAGAGAGGAGAGTTCTGAGGGAGAGAGGAGGGTTCTGAGGGAGAGAGGGGGGTTCTGAGGGAGAGAGTGGGGTTCTGTGGGAGAGAGGGTGGTTCTGAGGGAGAGAGGGTGGTTCTGAGGGAGAGAGGGTGGTTCTGAGGGAGAGAGGGGAATTCTGTGGGCGAGAGGGGGGTTCTGAGGGAGAAAGTGGGGTTCTGAGGGAGAGAGGGGGGTTCTGTGGGAGAGAGGGGGGTTCTGTGGGAGAGAGGAGAGTTCTGAGGGAGAGAGGAGAGTTCTGAGGGAGAGAGGGGGGTTCTGTGGGAGAGAGGGGGTTCTGAGGGAGAGAGGAGAGTTCTGAGGGAGAGAAGAGAGTTCTGTAGGAGAGAGGAGAGTTCTGTGGGAGAGAGGAGAGTTCTGAGGGAGAGAGGAGAGTTCTGTGGGAGAGAGGGGGGTTCTGTGGGAGAGAGGAGAGTTCTGAGGGAGAGAGGAGAGTTCTGTGGGAGAGAGGGAGGTTCTGTGGGAGAGAGGGGGGTTCTGTGGGAGAGAGGGGGGTTCTGTGGGAGAGAGGGGGGTTCTGTGGGAGAGAGGGGGGTTCTGTGGGAGAGAGGAGAGTTCTGAGGGAGAGAGGGTGGTTCTGAGGGAGAGAGGGTGGTTCTGAGGGAGAGAGGGTGGTTCTGAGGGAGAGAGGAGAGTTCTGTGGGAGAGAGGAGAGTTCTGTGGGAGAGAGGAGAGTTCTGTGGGAGAGAGGAGAGTTCTGAGGGAGAGAGGAGAGTTCTGTGGGAGAGAGGGGGGTTCTGAGGGAGAGAGGAGAGTTCTGAGGGAGAGAGGAGAGTTCTGTGGGAGAGAGGGGGGTTCTGAGGGAGAGAGGAGAGTTCTGTGGGAGAGAGGAGAGTTCTGAGGGAGAGTTCTGAGGGTGAGGGGGGTTCTGAGGGTGAGAGAGGAGAGTTCTGAGGGAGAGAGGAGAGAGTTCTGTGGGGGAGAGGTTCTGAGGAGAGTTCTGAGGGAGAGAGGGGGGTTCTGAGGGAGAGAGTGGGGAATTCTGTGGGAGAGAGGGGGTTCTGAGGGAGAGAAGTGGGGTTCTGAGGGAGAGAGGGTGGTTCTGAGGGAGAGAGGGTGGTTCTGAGGGAGAGAGAGGTTCTGGAGGGAGAGAGGAGAGTTCTGAGGGAGAGAGGGGGGGTTCTGTGGGAGAGAGGGGGGTTCTGAGGGAGAGAGGAGAGTTCTGAGGGAGAGAGGGGGGTTCTGTGGGAGAGAGGAGAGTTCTGAGGGAGAGAGGAGAGTTCTGTGGGAGAGAGGGGGGTTCTGAGGGAGAGAGGAGAGTTCTGAGGGAGAGAGGAGAGTTCTGTGGGAGAGAGGGGGGTTCTGAGGGAGAGAGGAGAGTTCTGTGGGAGAGAGGAGAGTTCTGAGGGAGAGAGGGGGGTTCTGAGGGTGAGAGGAGAGTTCTGAGGGAGAGAGGAGAGTTCTGAGGGAGAGAGGAGAGTTCTGAGGGAGAGAGGGGGGTTCTGAGGGAGAGAGTGGGGTTCTGTGGGAGAGAGGGTGGTTCTGAGGAGAGGAGAGGGTGGTTCTGAGGGAGAGAGGGTGGTTCTGAGGGAGAGAGGGTGGTTCTGAGGGAGAGAGGGGAATTCTGTGGGCGAGAGAGGGGGTTCTGAGGGAGAAAGTGGGGTTCTGAGGGAGAGAGGGGGGTTCTGTGGGAGAGAGGGGGGTTCTGTGGGAGAGAGGAGAGTTCTGAGGGAGAGAGGAGAGTTCTGAGGGGAGAGAGGGGGGTTCTGTGGGAGAGAGGGGGGTTCTGAGGGAGAGAGGAGAGTTCTGAGGGAGAGAAGAGAGTTCTGTAGGAGAGAGGAGAGTTCTGTGGGAGAGAGGAGAGTTCTGAGGGAGAGAGGAGAGTTCTGTGGGAGAGAGGAGAGTTCTGTGGGAGAGAGGGGGGTTCTGTGGGAGAGAGGAGAGTTCTGAGGGAGAGAGGAGAGTTCTGAGGGAGAGAGGAGAGTTCTGTGGGAGAGAGGGAGGTTCTGTGGGAGAGAGGGGGGTTCTGTGGGAGAGAGGGGGGTTCTGTGGGAGAGAGGGGGGTTCTGTGGGAGAGGGGGGGTTCTGAGGGGGAGAGAGGAGAGTTCTGAGGGAGAGAGGAGAGTTCTGTGGGAGAGAGGAGAGTTCTGAGGGAGAGAGGAGGAGTTCTGTGGGAGAGAGGGGGGTTCTGAGGGAGAGAGGAGAGTTCTGTGGGAGAGAGGAGAGTTCTGAGGGAGAGAGGGGGGTTCTGAGGGTGAGAGGAGAGTTCTGAGGGAGAGAGGAGAGTTCTGAGGGAGAGAGGAGAGTTCTGAGGGAGAGAGGGGGGTTCTGAGGGGAGAGAGAGTGGGGTTCTGTGGGAGAGAGGGTGGTTCTGAGGGAGAGAGGGTGGTTCTGAGGGAGAGAGGGTGGTTCTGAGGGAGAGAGGGGAATTCTGTGGGCGAGAGGGGGGTTCTGAGGGAGAAAGTGGGGTTCTGAGGAGAGAGAGGGGGTTCTGTGGGAGAGAGGGGGGTTCTGTGGGAGAGAGGAGAGTTCTGAGGGAGAGAGGAGAGTTCTGAGGGAGAGAGGGGGGTTCTGTGGGAGAGAGGGGGGTTCTGAGGGAGAGAGGAGAGTTCTGAGGGAGAGAAGAGAGTTCTGTAGGAGAGAGGAGAGTTCTGTGGGAGAGAGGAGAGTTCTGAGGGAGAGAGGAGAGTTCTGTGGGAGAGAGGAGAGTTCTGTGGGAGAGAGGGGGGTTCTGTGGGAGAGAGGAGAGTTCTGAGGGAGAGAGGAGAGTTCTGAGGGAGAGAGGAGAGTTCTGTGGGAGAGAGGGAGGTTCTGTGGGAGAGAGGGGGGTTCTGTGGGAGAGAGGGGGGTTCTGTGGGAGAGAGGGGGGTTCTGTGGGAGAGGGGGGGGTTCTGAGGGAGAGAGGAGAGTTCTGAGGGAGAGAGAGGAGTTCTGTGGGAGAGAGGGGGGTTCTGTGGGAGAGAGGGGGGTTCTGTGGGAGAGAGGGGGGTTCTGTGGGAGAGAGGAGAGTTCTGAGGGAGAGAGGAGAGTTCTGTGGGAGAGAGGGGGGTTCTGTGGAGAGAGGAGAGTTCTGAGGGAGAGAGGAGAGTTCTGTGGGAGAGAGGGGGGTTCTGTGGGAGAGAGGGGGGTTCTGTGGGAGAGAGGGGGGTTCTGTGGGAGAGGGGGGTTCTGTGGGAGAGAGGAGAGTTCTGAGGGAGAGAGGAGAGTTCTGTGGGAGAGAGGGGGGTTCTGTGGGAGAGGGGGGTTCTGTGGGAGAGAGGGGGGTTCTGTGGGAGAGAGGGGGGTTCTGTGGGAGAGGGGGGGGTTCTGAGGGAGAGAGGAGAGTTCTGAGGGAGAGAGGAGAGTTCTGTGGGAGAGAGGGGGGTTCTGTGGGAGAGAGGGGGTTCTGTGGGAGAGGGGGGTTCTGTGGGAGAGAGGGGGGTTCTGTGGGAGAGAGGAGAGTTCTGTGGGAGAGAGGAGAGTTCTGTGGGAGAGAGGAGAGTTCTGTGGGAGAGAGGAGAGTTCTGTGGGAGAGAGGGGGGTTCTGTGGGAGAGAGGGGGGTTCTGTGAGAGAGGGGGGTTCTGTGGGAGAGAGGGGAGTTATGGTTTCTCGTCTCACTGTAACCGTTTGAATGTTTTGTTTAGTTTTATTAAAAGCAGAGTTAATACACAAGACAACTCAAGCTCAACAAAACAAGATAGAGACAGTCACACATTAGGATTGTTCCAGATTGTAGCTGCATGAATCTGAAATGCTGCCTCCTCATGTTTAATCCTGACTCTGGGCACAGGCAGAAGACCAGTCCCTGTGCTCCTCAGAGTCCCAGCAGGAGGCCAGTCCCTGTGCTCCTGAGAGTCCCAGCAGAAGGCCAGTCCCTGTGCTCCTCAGAGTTGGTTGGTCCAAATGGCACTAACATTTTTTCCCAAGTTAAAACATTTATACTTCTTTTTTAATTATTATTATATTCAAGATAGAGATTTTATATTTGTTATTCGATGCTAGAGTTAGAGATTTTAATTTTAATTAGTTTCTATTATTCACTTATCTCGTGCTGTGTGCAACTCATTCCTACAATTCCATAACTTGTGATGCAACACTGAAATTTCCCCAATGTGGTATGAGTAAAGGTTCTCCTAATCTTAATCTTAATTTAATATGTACTTGGGTGGACTCACATCCTGGAGATGCAAGGGCAGACATCTTGGAGACCCAGGGCTCGGTAAAGACAGTGGGGGCTGGTGGTCCGTGGATCCAGGCACAATATACAATACTCAAACATGCATGAATCCCTCTAAAGTCAAACACATCCAGTATTTACACATCCTTCCATCAGCCTGAGTGCGTCCTGTGTGTAGAAGCCTCACTCCTTCTGCAAAACATCTATTAGCTCGGGCCGGACCACAAAGGCCCTCTGTCCCGCCACTGTCACCGAGAAGCCAACAAATCCTCCCCACTGCACATTAGCGGCAGCAGGCTGACTAATTCATTTGTGGAAATATTTCTGTGCCGTCTCACAAATCAAAGCCCACATTCACAAACGCTTCCCTTTCACTGTATGAGCCTCTAATGAGTTTGCCTCAGCTTCGGGGACAGTGTTAACCCGGAGTGACAGCCGAGCGCGAGTGGGGGCTATACAATTGCTTTTCTCACATGACATAATTGTGAGTTATTAAGGCGGTAATAATGGGGTTTGTGCGTGCAAAGCTGAGGAATGCTGTGACATGGAAGAGTAAATAAATATGAATGACTGTTATTAAGTAATGCAGGATTAAGTCAGAGCGTGGGAATGCAATAGTAGCACTAGTTCTGAAAACGGGAGGTATATTTAGTTGGGATTGTCCGTATGATTATCAACATGTAGAGAGATTCAGAACTGCACTTTTAGCCTGTCTAATGTGAAATGTTAGTCAAAGTGAGGCCTGTTGCTCCCATACTCTACCATACTCTACCATACTCTACCATACTCTACCATACTCTACCATACTCTACCATACTCTATACCATACTCTACCATACTCTATACCATACGCTATACCATACGCTATACCATACTCGCTGCCATACTCGCTGCCATACTCGCTGCCCCGCCCCACTCTGACACACTCTGACACACTCTGACACACACTCTGACACACACTCTGACACACACTCTGACACACACTCTGACACACTCTACCATACTCTACCATACTCTACCATACTCTACCATACTCTACCATACTCTACCATACATTAGATGAAACAACTGAAGGATCTAATCTTCTCCCTTTTTAATGCACTGATTATTTGAATGCCTTCTGTGGTTGTTACTATTTGAGTTGCCTTGTGAATTAACTGTGCTTTACAAATCTGGAACAATCTTCCTGAAGATGTGAGACAGGCCTCCTATCTGACAATGTTTAAAACCAGGTTAAAGACAGTTCTGTTTAGCTGTGCATACAACTGAGGGATTTTATATTTGTATCTTTATTTTTAATGTACTGTGATTATTTATGATTTTAATGCTTTCTTGTTTTGTTCAGCACTTTTGAGTTGCCTTGTGTATGAATTGTGCTATATAAATAAACTTGCTTTAACTTGCCTTGCCTTATTGTGGTACAGCACATTATCAATCATCATTCCAACACACAGCACATTTCACGATTCAAAACTAAATATTTGCACAATTTTTAGAAACTTTTTGAAAATCCAAAATCTAACCCAGTGTAGCATTCGCCTTGCCAACCAGCGAACGAGACGAAGCACTCTCCCTCTCGCTCTGAGGGAAAATCAATGTCTTTTCAGCACACGCAGCACGCCCGCCCCAAAACACCAACCCCATGCATTTATTACCAGGCTGAAACATCATCTGTGTATCGAGTGTGACTAAGCCATCTCCGATCTGCTAAATGTCCAAACGTGCCGCTAGTTTCTCTTGCAAATAATTCTACAAATAAACTCAAGGCGCAATTAGACAAAAGTTACCGGCTGCTAAATAGCCCGGGATGCTAAATGGTGATTACAGTTACCCCGGGCTGAATAATGATCTTGTTAGCATGCTAAGCTTCCTGGAATACATTATGGTGAAAGAACGACTCGATAACAAGGCTAAGCTGGATACGTTCTTGAGGGTTGGGAGGAAAAGGCTCAGTCAATTTATCAGTATTTATGAAGAATTTCCAAATTGATGTTAACATTTTACCGGAACCCAAAATTTACACCGGTGGTCTCAAACTCAATTTATCTGAAGGGAGGAGATGATTAGCATTGGAGCAAAGGGATCCACACACAAATCTAACACACAGTATACTGTAGCTCCTGACAAATACAAACTGTCCAATCTTCTCATGTTTTTAGAATAACAGTAGAGAAAGGCAACATTTGCACTAGCAGAAGTGTTGCTAAGACAAGCTGGAGTCAGGACTTATATGGCTCATATCTGGATTTACAAAGACAATCTCATTAACGCTAATACAGAGAGCGCTAAACCACAGAAATCCCCAAATGGTGAGTGTGACACAAACTAGGGCTTGGCAATAAATCGAATTTGGGAAAAATCGTGAAGGATATTGTGAGAGTTCCAGCAGCACATGAATCTAGGGCTGCAACTAACGATTATTTAGATAATCGATTAATCAGGCGATTATTTTTACGATTAATCGATTAATCGGTTTATGTACTTATATTTTAGTTTTGCCAATTTTTTTCCAAGTAAATTGTTAACAAAGGGCCTTCATCATTCAACATAGACTTTTTAGAGATTTTAACCATTTTACATATTCATATCCACATCAAAAACTTAACTGGAGCTGTTTATTATGTCTTTGTAATCCTTTAGTGAACTCAATGTTGACCATCAAAACAAAACACTGACCGTTACATACTCTAGCAAATTTCACAAGGAGATTTCCAATAATGTTTTCACCATGAAAATCCTTAGGGCTTCTGAAGTAGTTTAAAATCCCGAACAAGGCTTATTTAAGTTGATAAACTGATAAATGTTTTTTTTTTTTTACATCTTTGTGCAAATTATTTGAAAGATCAACTTTATGCCTAAAACAGTGAGTGTGGCGCCATCTTTTGCAAACAGTCAGTACTGCAGAGAGATGGTTTAAGGTGCTCACGCAGAGACGTAGTACTCCCGTGCCAGGCCAAGTCAGTAGCGCAGAGTTTACAGGTTACTCTTCTTTTTTGAAGGTTCAAAGTAAAGTGCTCCCACACTTTGGATGACTTCGTTCGATTAGGTTTGTCTTCTGCTTTTTTCCTTTTTTTTCTCGAGCTTACTCCGCTTGCCTCCGCCATCTTGCTGTATGCTGAAGAGAAGCTGTGCGCGAAGCATGTGACATAAAAGGAGGCCAGCTATTGGCTATTCGCTACTTCTCCTGCTGTAAAACCTCCGGTGGCTCATTACTGCCACCATTTGGTCACCGCAGAGTTAAAATATGCACGAAATGAGCCGCTTACGGCAAAATAAAAGTTATTTAGCAACTAATCGATGACTAAATTAGTTGACAACTATTTTAATAATCGATTTTAATCGATTAAATCGATTAGTTGTTTCAGCTCTACATGAATCATACAAATCTGTTATAATACGTATTGGGGGAAACAAATAAAAAATAGTTTGAGCAGAAAGATCGAAAAATATTTTTAAGGGCAAAGTCTGTTTGGCAACTTTAATGAAAATCGATTTAAAATCAAAATCGTCCAAATCAGGAAACAAAATCGAGATTTTACTTTTTTGCCATATTTCCCAGCCCTAACACAAACCGTTACTGAGCTACAGTTTACTTTTACCTGTTAGTCAATAAAAGCCAGAGCGAGTAGGAGCAAAACTTCCACGTGTACTTTTCTATTTGGCAAGGAAGAAAGAGGTATTAACTCATGGTAGGCTGCGTATTGACATTTGAGTCTGTATATCATAAGACAGTGAATGGGACTGAAAGTATGAATAGTTTTAAAACAACTGAAAAAACCTTTGCCGAAAAAAAACAATGCAAACATCCTGTGGATCCAGGCTGGATTAAGGCCATTTTGATCTTTAAAATTACATGACATGTCCATATTAATTCATAATTCAGCTACATTGGCGCCTTATATGGACGTTTGTGACACAATCGAAAACAAGTCAAAAGATACAAGAGACGACAGGATTCTGGAGGTTTCGAGCTTTACTGGTGGAGCTGAAGTTGGCTGGATGACACTGTGAAACTTCCACAATGACTACTTTGTGTTCAACCATACTAATCCAAGCAAAATAACAGGAGACTTTGTGAATCGTAATCAAACAAAATCCAAAGCCAAAATCCACAAATACAGGAAAAACAAACGCATTGTTCCATTGTCCGGTTCAAAGAGGTACTTACCCAGTTCAGTATGCCGGTCTGTTCCTCTGGAAAGTCCTCATATGACCCGCATTTCCAAAACAAATGGCTTTACTCCACACTCATCGCCTTCACAAAACAAGCACCAGTCTCTCCCAATCTGAAAAAGAAAGCAGAGAAGAAGATTATCCTCCCTGAAATGGTCAAATCTTGTTCAAGCACGACAATAATACAGATTGCAAGTAGGGATACGCAGATTTCAGCTTTCCTTGGCTGATACCAATTTGGATTTTTTTGGCTTTCAATATTTGCTGCCAACTGATAATAGACTAACATCTTCTAGATTACATCCAGTTGTACAACAAGGATAATAATCACAAGAAACTGGCATAGAATTGACTTGCCACATGGAAGCATAGAGTGGACTGACCGAGTGTGACATCACCATAGTGCTAGCCTTAATGTGGAAGAAGCAAATGAGAATTTAAGCTAGCAGGAGTCCATTTTCATACATGGGTATTACTTCTGACAGTGTTAGCTTTGCGCTGTGAGTGTGAGGGGCACGTGTTGCTAAGACGTTTGTTGTGGCAAGCTGGAGTTGGAGTTCGAATCATGAAGGAAGGCATCTGATTGGTCCTTATTCAATGAAATGTATTTTTGCATTTCCCTAAATCACAACTGCAGACGCTTCAAAGGACTTTTTCTTTAATTTAGGGGAGGGCGATATGGCCTGAAATTCATATTGCGGTATAATTTGGGACACAGACGGTAGACGGTATATATTGCGGTATAATTTGGTGTGAATTTCAATATAGGTCTAGCAGGTTCTTGCATAAAATAGTCAAGATTGTTACTTATTTATATATAAGAATCTAATATATATATTTTTTGAGTTATTCAGTGAGACGAATAAAGAGACTAAATACCGTTCACTGTAAAAGCAATTTTTAAAAAGAAAAACACGTGCATTCATTTAGAATATAAAAAACTCACAAATGTTGAAATCAAAGCCTGTAGCAGTTAGACATGGTCATTATTTATAGTGTCTGAGAGTTTTGTGCAGGTACATGACTTCAGTAAAAGCTATTGTTTGTTTACAAAGCTGGTCTTGCCATTTGTTGACGCTCCCTAAGCGCTTTTCTCTGCGCTTGCAGTGCACTGGATGATTCAATGGATTTATGTGCATTAAAACAGCGCATTGGATTTGAACAATTGATGTAAATGATCATTTTGGCACAATAAATTTTGTTTAACAAAGTAGCTTTCGTGAGATATTGACCGCGGAGGTCCGAATCTGACGCTAACTTTCCCAAACTTCTGCTGTGATGCTGCGGACACGGCACACGCATGGATCTATTTTGGCTCACACTGGCGCTTTGAGCCTACGCCCCTTTGACACTGATTGGCCAAAAGGTAGACACTTAAACTGTGATTGCTGTGTGTGTATTTACCTCTGCTGGGGCCGCTGTGACAACAATACAGAGACAGAAACACGGTGTTAATGCCGTGCTGTTGTTCGCTGTTTCCAGTGGTGTCTGCTAGGCTGCTAGGCTAATGCTGCTAGGCTAATGCTGCTAGGCTAATGCTGCTGAATGCCGGTTTGTTTTGGTCCTTTCTGCTGGCGTCAGACCCTGCGCAATTTGATGACATAATGACCTATCGCAATATGCCGGTATAACAAAAATCTCTACCGTGGACCAAATGTATATCGCATACCGCTTATACCGTTTATATCGCCCAGCCCTACTTTAATTATATTTTTTTCTACATTTGGGATCTTTTTATATGGGGATTTGTCGAAGAGCACAAATTTGACATCAGTCCTGTCCTTCTGACAACAAGTGTGCACTTCTCTTTTCTGTTTCCTCTCAAAGCAAACCACAGACAAATAAAGAAGCTGATAAGTGTTTGTTGACCAGTCCCCACTATGGACCGGTCAATTTCTTCTATTGATTTCTTCTATGGTCAACATAATTGGGGCAACAGCAGCTTAGTTGTTAGAGAATGGTCGTTGGTTCAATCCCCCCATGAGACCTTCTCTAAGGAACACCAAGGCTGTGTCGTTGGGGATGAAGCAGCCATCCTCCTGTGGACTCCACCTGCAGGAGGATCAGTGAGGGGCCGGTGCTCTGAGAATTGGATTGCCGACCCAAGGTTCAATGTATAACTTTATTGTCCCCACAGGCAAATTTGTCTTGGGCTCACAACATCAGGACAATCGTCTCGTCTGCACAATTTCAATAATATGCCACAAAATTGCACTGTCCCATCAATCAACATTGTAAAAGACCACAAATATAAACAGTATTTACACAATAAGCAACAAAGTACATACAATGTCTAAAGTGCTAGTGCGGTGCAGATTAAGAAAGTACATCGCAGACGCCCAAACAAAGTGCTAAAACACTAAAACATTGCACAGGCCTGAATATGAACACGGAGACTATTCAAGTTATCAGATTTTATGAATTCGATTGTGCAGAGGGATAGATGCTGGAACAAAAGACAATTTAAATCTGTTGGTTCGGTGCCTGACAACACAATAGCGCCTCTCGGAAATGGACAAAGGGGATGAAGATGAATGAATGAATGAATGGTCAGAATAAACATGAGTGAGTGTCTGTATAATATGTTTCATGTTTGTTTCGGTTTCAGCTGGTGGTGTGGCATGTGGCTGTTTTCAATCACAAAAGACATTTCACTTCATCATAGTCTAAAATCTATAAATTTCCTCAAGTCACATCGCATAGTCAGTACACGGCTTGAATAGGTAAAATAACCTTGCTTCTTTTCAAAATCTTTCTCACTTTCAGGCCAAGTTTTTCAGCATAAATTCAGCACTGTCGATGTGTCCTTGGGCAACGCGCTTCACACAGTGCGACCGTATGAAACCCAGCATCCAATTCGGGGACGTGCGGCTCGGCAGAATAGAGCTCAGAAACTGTGACGGGAACTGAAGTCGCACATTTGTAGATTGACAGTTGGGAAAATCTTTGTAGTGGAAGCAAATTAGGCGGCAGCTCTGCACCGACGCATTTTTCCTCACAAGCAATAAATAAATTTGCTTGACGATTATACTGCGAGGGACATGGGGTGAAGCAATATCTTTTAATTGGTTACACATTCATAGATTCATAAGGGAAAGTACACTTGGCCTCAAATGGTGTGAATTAGGCAAAACAAAACTATGGCTCTGTACTTCAAAGTCTCCACGTTTTGAGCGGTGAAACATTTGGATGATTTAACAGATATGCTAATTTAGAGAGACAGTATTTGTTTAATCAGGGCGAAAAGAGAAGAGCTTTAACAATTTGGTGCAGGGGATCGAACAAGGTTGTAATGGACATCGCTGATGCTAGCTGGTTGCCGTGCTTCCTGTCAGTGTGCCTCGGGGCAACTGTGGCTGCGTTGGTAGTTTATCGCCACAGTGTATGGAGTGAATGCATAATGTCGTGTGTGTAATGTCTACAAGTGTCCGGAAAAGCACTAAGCACTAAAAGTGATGGAAAATAAGTCGAAAATGTATCTTAATTTGAACACGTAATGACTGCCTTAAAACAAGATTTGGCAACGGGACAAGCAAAATGGTCGTGTTTTTAAAAGATACAAGAAATGTCTCCCTTGGAATGAGAAAATACAGGCAGCAGTTCTTGAAATGAGAGTAAATGGCTTGTCCTATTGGCAAATCTAGTTTTGAGACAGTCAGAATGTACTCAAAATGTACCACTAAAATCAAGCCATTATAACCTCATATTTGATCATTTGTGAATATAAAACCGATGCATTATATACATATAGATTCAGATTCAGATTTATTTATTCGCCATTTGCAGTAAAACCACATTGGAATGCATTAGCAAAAGTCACCAGTGTGCACAGACAAGTACAAGACATAAAACAACGTTAAAAGTACAGAAATAAAACAAATAAAACAGTAAACAAATGTCACTGTGAAATCGATCGACTAAAACAGTTCAAAACAAGTGCAAAACATTAAAGTGCTCTGTTCACACTGATAACAGCTTGTGGATAAAAACTGTTAGCGTAACGAGATGTCCTGCATCTCAGAGAGCGATATCTTCTGCCAGAGGGAAGAAGCTGGAACATGGCTTTCCCAGGGTGGCCAGAAGAGTCATTGACAGAGCTTTGTTTAAAAGTCTGGATTTATAAAGAACCTCCAGAACAGGAAGCTCACAGCCCACGGTCCTCTTTGCAGAGCGGAGCACCTTGTTTAAAGCTCTCTTTTCTTTATCTGTGATGTTTCCAAACCACACAGACACAGAACCAACAAGTAAACTCTCAATGGTATGATATAGTCAGAGATTACACTGGTCAGCCAAACCACTACATTTCAAGAAGGCAGATATGGCACATTTCTATACATAACCGTGACCAACAAGCAGTTCAATTCAACCGCAGTTTGCCCCCGTATTGAAATACAAAGAGTTCAAGGTTAGGTCCCTCAGCCACGTCTCTCCTCTTTCACTCAAATCCCGTGGAAAATAGACGATCTATTTATCTAGCGTTTGAGTCAATTGCAGCCCCAAACAGACTAACGCGCGCTCACACTGCTCTGATTGCAGAGAGACGGGCGCTGGGGAGGTAAACATTTGAATGGCAGCACAAACACGCAGGGAAGACGAGCGCGTACAGGCTGTATATACTCTGCCAGCGCCAAACTGGGACTCAAATATGGAATTGATTGGAAGACATAAGTACAGTACATGGTTTGAGATATTGTAATACCATTAAGGATATTTATAAGACTTTTTTGTGTAATGACATGAAACCTGGGCTGGTCATTACAACAGATGCAGATTTCAGTACTTTTCAATTTGATGTTTTGGTTTCCTGAAGATCAAAGCAAAGGTAGTGTTGCTGTGGCAGATGCTGAGGGGATCCCCAAAATAAACCATGTGAGCGCTGTGAAACTCTGGTCACGTCGTTTACTGAGTTCCAACCATAAAAAGTATCTTCTGCTAAGACCACAATAGACAGTAAATATTCTATTCAAAAAGCATTGGATAATTCACTTCCTGGGTCCACCCCCTTCGGAAAGGAGTGGGAATGCAAGTACCACTCGTTGTTTCGTTCACCGTGGCAGTACAGTCATTTTGTTATATCGGAGACAAGAAGAAGCTCTTCTTCATTAAAGCTGCA